GGCGCGTCGCTGCTGACCCAGGCGAGCACCCTCATGTCCGTGCAGCCTGAGGCCGACGCCCAGGGCCAGCCTGCCCCCAGCAAGGGGCCACCCAAGATCGTCTTCAGTGATGCCAGCAAGGAGGCTGGCCCGAGACCCCCAGGCTCAGGGCCCGGGCCTGGGCCTGCAGCTGGAGCCAAAGCTGAGCCTGCAGCCAGGGCAGGTGCCGCATCAGGGCCCGGAGCCCCGGCGAGAACTGGGGGGACACCCAGCCCAAAGCATGGCCGAGCAGAACAGCAGGCAGTGCCCAAGGCTGCTGCCAAGCCAAAGACCATGCCGAAGGACAGGCCCACCTGCCCACTGTGCCAAGCCGAGCTCAACGTGGGCAGCAAGGGCCCAGCCAACTACAACACCTGCACCGCCTGCAAGCTCCAGGTGTGCAACCTCTGTGGCTTCAACCCGACACCCCACCTGGTGGAGGTAAGGGACCCGGGGTCGCGGGGGCACGGGCAAGTGGGAGCAAAGGACCCCGCGAGCTGGGGCTGAGCCGTGGGGCACCCTCCACCGCCGATGCCCTGAGGGCTGCCCTCTCTTCTGTCCCTGCCCCGGCCGCCCCTCCACTCAGAGACCTGACTGGCACGGTGGGTGCGGGTGGTGTGCCTGCTGCCTCTGCCTGGCTGAGTGCCCTGAGGCTGGTCCCAGAGTCTGCCAGGCTCAGGAGGCCCTGAACTGCCTCCCCCCACTCCCAGCTCTCATGGCAGGACCTGGTGACAGATGCCAACCCCCTCTGCCCAGGGAGGAAGAACCTGGGGTCCCACCTGCCCTCGGCCTGTGCCCCTCACAGGGTGGAGGGCTGTGGGCCCCAGGAGAAGGCAGGCTTCTCACCGAGGGCAGGCCGTGCCCCGCGGCCCAGGCCCTGGCCCAGCCAGGGGTGTCCACCTCCATCCCTTCCTCAGGTCCTTGGTGGGGGGTGTTGATGTTTGCTTGTCAAAGCCTCAGCCTTCGGTCCGTGTTTTCCCGGGCAGCCTGCTCCCCTGGGCCTGCTTGTGGGGCTCTCAGAGGCGCTCTCCCGAGCTGCAGGAGGGTTTGAGATGGGGGCTGGGGCCGTCCCTCCGCAGGCCCTGCTCCAGGGAGAGGTGCTGAGCGCTGCAGAGCAGGGTGGGAGGGAGCAGGACGCCCCCTGCTCTGGAGAAGCCTGGGCCCGCCTGGGAGGCCCAGATGGTGCGGAGCCCCTGGTGGAGCTGCTTCTGACCCTCCCGGACCCACTCTCCCTGCTCAGGACCCCGGGGGCTGCTCGGCTGCCCTGGACACAACTCCTGTGTCCCCTTCCGTGGGTCTGTGATTGGCTCATCCCTGCTGTCATGTGGGGGGCGGGGCAGGGGGCAAGCCAAGGCCCTGCTGGGCTGAGCCATGCACGGCGTGTGGAGTGCAGACCCTGCTGCCGAGGGTGGGACAGTGGAGCAGGACGTGGTGTTGCCATGGTCTGTGGGCACCGTTCTGACGCGCCTGGGGCCAGGCCACCCTGGGTCTGTGGGAGAGAATGACAAGTGAATGGATGAACAAGGGGATGGAGGAGCAGGG